CGTCCTCCTCCTCCTCCCGTCTCCTCCCTTCTCCTCCTCCTCCTCTCTCCCTTTCTTCGTAAATACTTCCTTCTTGTCGCGTCCCCAAACGAGTTGGTAGTGCGGGAAGGGCGTGTCGCTTGAGACCCACTCCTCACTTACGGCCCTGCAACTTGACATTTGTGACGTTTTCAGGGGTGGAAAGCGGGCCGTTCTCAAAATGGAGTTTTCGCGTTGGCGCCGCGCGCGTTCGTTCTAAACACTTGCAGTAGTTTTAAGGGTGGGAAAGGGGAACGTTTTTTTTTTTTTTTTTTTTTTTTTTTTTTTTTTTTTTTTTTTTTTTTTTTTTTTTTTTTTTACAAAATGTGCAAATCGCCCTCGCGCCGCGCGCGTTCACCTTACAAGCTTTCAGCAATTGCGCGGATGGCGTGTGGTTTTGTTTCTTTTTCGACGTGTGACAATCGCTTTCGCGCCGCGCGTTTTCGTCTTAAAAGCTTGCAGCAGCTTTGGGGATGAAGGGGGGCGTTTTCAAAATGTGGTTGTCGCCGGGCGCCGCGCGCGCTCGTCTTTACAGTCTGCAACAGTTTCAAAAATGGACGGGGGCCGTTTTCAAAATGTGTCTCTCTCCTTGGCGCTGCGCGCACTCTCTTTCTCTCAAAACCTTGCTTTACCTTCGCGGATGCAACGCACATCGTTTTCAAAATGGAACTCTCGCCTGGGCGCCGCGAGGCTTCATCCGAAAATCTTGCTTCCGTGCAGAAGTTTAAGCACTGCTCGTGCGCAGGTGCATTTTCCAACCCCGCACTTTCGAGCTCGTGCAGGCTGGGGCTCGCCGCAAGGGGCGGCCCCGCAACACGTGGAAGTTTCAGGTGTACGAGCTTGCTTGCCGGACGGCCGGCGACGAGGAAGCGTTGCACGCCCTGTGGCATCCAGGGCAGAACGTTTGATTGTTCCCAACCATCCTATGGTGTTGGGTCCTCGTTTTGAAGAGACGGTGCCCCGCGTCACTCCTCTCCTCTCCTCCTCCCCCTCCTCCACCCTCCCGTCACTCCTGCCTCCTCCCTGCGTTTCACCCACCCAGTGCAGCGTTTCGTGGCCCCATAGGGAGCTCCACCGAAGGCGCCAGTGGCAGCGTTCGCATGGCGGCCCCGGGGCATTTCGGCACACCCCTCACGAGGATCGTGGCCCCATAGGGAGCTCCACCGAAGGCTCCAGTGGCAGCGTTCGCATGGCGGCCTCGGGCCATTTCGGCACACCCCTCACGAGGATCGTGGCGCCATAGGGAGCTCCACCGAAGGCGCCAATGGCAGCGTTCGCATGGCGGCCTCGGGCCATTTCGGCACACCCCTCACGAGGATCGTGGCCCCATAGGGAGCTCCACCGAAGTCTCCAGTGGCAGCGTTCGCATGGCGGCCTCGGGCCATTTCGGCACTCCCCTCACTAGGATCGTGGCTCCATAGGGAGCTCCACCGAAGGCGCCAGTGGCAGCGTTCGCATGGCGGCCTCGGGCCATTTCGGCACACCCCTCACGAGGATCGTGGCAGCGTTCGCATGGCCTCGGGCCATTTCGCCCCCCCTCGCGAGGATCGTGGCCCCATAGGGAGCTCCACCGAAGGCGCCAGTTGCAGCATTCGCATGGCGGCCTCGGGCCATTTCGGCACACCCCTCACGAGGATCGTGGCCCCATGGGAGCTCCACCGAAGGCGCCAGTGGCAGCGTTCGCATGGCGGCCTCGGGCCATTTCGGCACACCCCTCACTAGTATCGTGGCCCCATAGGGAGCTCCAGCGAAGGCGCCAGTGGCAGCGTTCGCATGGCGGCCTGGGGCCATTTCGGCACACCCCTCACGAGGATCGTGGCCCCGTAGGGAGCTCCACCGAAGGCTCCAGTGGCAGCGCTCGCATGGCCTCGGGCCATTTCGGCTCCCCCCTCACGAGGATCGTGGCCCCATAGGGAGCTCCGCCGAAGGCCCCCAATGGCAGCGTTCGCATGGCGGCCTCGGGCCATTTCGGCACACCCCTCACTAGGATCGTGGCCCCGTAGGGAGCTCCACCGAAGGCGCCAGTGGCAGGGTTCGCACGGCGGCCTCGGGCCATTTCGGTACACCCCTCACAAGGATCGTGGCCCCATAGGGAGCTCCACCGAAGGCGCCAGTGGCAAGATTCGCATGGCGGCCCCGGGCCACTGCGGCACATCCCTCACGAGGATCGTGGCCCCATAGTTGTGCTGCTGGGCGTCTGGGCGTCGTGCAACGCCACCTCCTCCCTCATGGCTCTCAAGGCCCTCTCCTGCGTCTGCTCCTCGGTGAGAGGGACGCCGTCCTTGTCGTCGTCGGCGCCCGCGAAGACGGCCACGAATGTGTCCCTGAGCAGTTCGGGCTCCGGCGGGAAGCCGTGGCCACATAGGGAGCGCGGGCGAAGATGGTATTCACAATTGCGGTATTCACAGCTGCATATGGTTGGGTCCTTCGCCAGGCTAATTTTTTTGTGCGCGAGTTTTATGATGCTGATTTTTCTGATTGATTTTAGGGAGGAGTTGCGAAAGCTCGGCCCCCGCCGCCTGCCCTTCAGGTGGTATCGTCGTTCCCTCTTCCGCCGTCCTGCGTCGCTCCTCTGCCTGCTCTCCCTCCTGCTCGTCCCTCGGGCTGTCGCCCGGGTTTCATCGTCCTCCCCCCCCCTGTCGTCCTCTGTCGCTTGCCCTCCTCCTTCCCCCGGCTCCGGGTTCGCCCTGGACCCCCGGGTGTCGTTCCCTCCTCTGCCCCCCTGCTGCGGTTGCTCTCCCGGGTCGTCCACCTTGCGGGGGGCAATTTTTGGCGAGCGGGTATGCATGACGAGATTGGCAAGCCTTCCCTGTGCATGGAGCCAGCGACGCCGGAGGCTTCGCATCGCGTTTCGCTGCGTTTTTTTTGCCAAAGCACCTCTGACGTGCACGGCTTCTCTCTCTCTCTCTCGCTCTCTCTCTCTCTCTCTCTCTCTCTCTCTCTCGTTTCCAAAGCGGCTGTCGCCTCAAATCCACGCGCAATCGCCATTTTCACTTATGCCTTCGCTGAATCAGTAGTCAAATAGTTCAACGCACATAGGGCTGCATGGAACCATGTCGGCTCTTTGGTTGCATGGGGTTGTCGCTTGGAACGTTACCGAAGTGCTGGTGACATGTGTAATCAACATTAGCAACAACTACACGGATGGTGCGGCAGTCCTTGTTCGGAAAAGGGATACCGCTGGACACCTCGTTAAAACGAAGGCTTATACAATCGAACCTAGAGGAAAAAGCATCCCTCAAAGACACGAGACCTTCCGCCGGCCAAAACGGACAGAACATCCTAGGGTACCCTCCCCAGGGTGCACAAACATCCAGCAAGCACGAAGAACATTAGGGTACCCTCCCCGAACCAACCTCGATCTTATACCTCGGTCCGACTGTAACTTCGTGCCCCTGATTACGAGTCGGACACATGCAAAATAATTCTTTCTTGAAGAAAGGTCTTCGTCAAAATGGCTGGCCCTATTGTGATGCTATTTCATGTGGGCGCTTCTTGTGATGAGGACCTGCTGGGGCGCATGAGGAAGGAACTTGGGACGGGAGGGTGCCTTGCAGCAGCGCTGATGCATACTTGGCTTACCCTGGCCTTCCTCTTCCTCCTCCTCGTCATCTCCCTCCCTCCTCCCTCCTCCTCCTCTTCCTCTCCCTCCTCCTCCTCCTCCTCTTCCTCTCCCTCCTCCCCCTCCGCCCTCCTCCTCCTCCTCCTCGTCCTCGCCCTCTCCCCCCCTCCCTCCTCCTCCTCCTCCTCCTCCTCCTCCTCCTCCTCCTCCTCCTCGTCCTCGTCCTCTCCCACCCTCCTCCCTCGCGGCTCCG